TTAATGTGACTTGCAGCCAGCCCTTCGGGTCCTTCAGCCTTCCAATCGGGCCCCTGATCTTTGGTTTCGAGGAGCCATTCGGCCCTCTTCGGACCTCCTTAAACAAAGCCTGCGACCGAATCGGGCCATTATTCGACACTTAACCCCCTGTTGCGCACTGTGGACCCCTGACCGACACAGGGCCCCCAAAACATTGTTCCAGGGACCTAGACCAATGCAAGTCATGGCCCCTGGCCTTGCTCCTGCCTGGGAAATGGGCTCCGAGGGTTCAGACTGACAGGGAGCCAACTGTTCCGTGGTCGTGGCCTCTGACCAACCGAGAAACTCGCATTGTCTCTTGGTGTCTTCAAACGGCGCAAGAGAACCTTTGACTGACATATCAGGTTACGACCCTACGAGCCGCGATTCTTTATGTTACCTACAGACAGTCCTTCGGGCCCCTATGCCCTCCAACCGAGCCCTTGATCGTCGGTTCCGCTGGACCACCCGGACCCCTTTTCGGGCCTCACCAAACATTTCCCTTGGTCAGCTTGGAGCCCCTTGCGAACACAGGACACTCCGTTGGGCACTGCGGACCGGTGACAAATACACGGGCTCCGACCAGTGTAAATCGCTGGCTCCGGCTTTGTAGCTGATTGGTGGCTGAAGTGAGCCCTCAGGCCAATACCGACACGGAGCTGACTGTGCGGTACAGTTAGTACAGTACAATACGGTGTCTGGCCGACATATAGACCCAAATCGACTAAGGAGACTCCAATAGGTGCGAAGGGCCCTCTGACTGTCATTTCACGGTCCATCCCCACAAGCTAGGCCCCCTCAATAAAACCCGACCAGCCCTTCCCGCTCTCAAGCTCTACAATTGGGCCTTTCATCGTCGGTCCCGGTGGCTCTTCGGGGTCTCCCTAAGCCCTACCTCTTACCGAATCGGGCTCCTTGCCAATACGGGGCCCCCTGTTAGTCGCCGTGGGGCTCTGACAGACGCCAGGGCTTCGACCAATGTAAATCGCTGGATCTTGCTTTTCCCCTACTTGAGGAATGAGCCCTCAAACTCGTGCCAACACGGAGCCGACTGCGCGTTATTAGTGGTGCCTGACTGCCATACAGGCCCTTTTCGACTCAGAGGGGCCCTGATCAGCGCGCAGCGCCCTCAGGATGGCATCGAAGTGCCCGGCCCTGCGGTCTGAGCCCCTGAATGCGACCTCCGCCAGCCTTTCGGGCCCCTCGGGGTCTTGATTGTATAATCCGGGGAGGGAGGGGGCACGTGCACCCTGTGCCCCCTCCTACCTGTGTTTCTGCTTTCTCTTACTAAGACATGGAGACATTAACATTATACATTACCATACACAGACATAACATACACAGACATACATTAACAGCATTGTCGAGACATAAGACACTAAGACAAGACATTACTAAGACTCTTGCTACGAATGCAATGTAAATTACAATGCTGTTGGCATCTTGAAGGTCATAAACTGAGGGATCAGGCGTTAAATGACTATGCAGAATAAATCAGCAGTACTATTCATTTCACAATGGTTCAGTGGATCAGGGCAGCGCCTTGGATTTTGACTTGGGCAGCATGATTTTCCAGAGGTCCTCTTAGGCGACATGAGGCCTCCTCACAATGGGACCTCCTTGGCGGTGTCGTGTTCCAGGGAGGGGCACCGAGGACATGTGCTCTGCCATCAAATTGTGGCATGCATTCTCTTCAAGTGATATCCAGGATAGAGGGTTTATGGTTATCCAGCAAAGGGGCTCGCTTTCCTAAAACAGGACCTCCTATTAAGGAAAGGGCCTCCTGATGCATAGAGAGGCCTCCTAATGCAGAACAGGATGCCTCCGATTCATGGAAGGGCCTCCAAATCCAGCCAGGAGTATCGTTTTCCCAAAGCAGAGCACCTTGATCCAGAATCACAGCTATCTGATGCATGAAAACGGCCTCCGGTTACAGAAATGGGGGCCTAAAAATAGAGGGGGCCTCATGTCCCAGAACAGGGGTATGCGGAGGTCTCCCGAGGAGGTTCGTAACGGAGACCTCCCGAGCCAGCAAAGCGGGCTCCTGAACATAGTGCCGGGCCTGCTAATCTAGAGTATGGCGTGCCTTTCCCCAAAGGTGGCCTGGCGATTCAGAAACAGGCCTCTTATGTAGAACAGGATCCCCTGAGCTCGAGTTATTGCCCTCTAGCACAGTTATGAGGAGCTCTTCGATCTAAATTTTTGTAATCAATGGGTCTTTGTTTTGAGAGAAGGGAACATCCCAGCAATTTTAAAGAAGCAAACATACTCTTGAGCCCCTGCCCACCGGCGGGGTGGGACAAGTGCCCCTTTTGTGTGTGGACAAGTGCAGTGGACTCTTTCTCAGCCGCTTGCACTCAGGAGCTTTGCCAGAATTTTAATTGTGAACGTAAATGAGGGTAACGTAGATTGTGGATCGATCAATACGAGTCAGCAGTTTGTAATGGCATGGTCATCCCATATTCGTCTGGGAGTGATTAACCTCGGTTCAAAATCGAGTCTGAGAACAATGACTTAACGCAGTTTTGCCATGCGCCTCGCAAGTTTAAGAAGCACATTTCTGCTCGGCGTTGCAGTCTCTGCAGATGTCAGCACACAGGCGGAGCATGTCGGCTCAGTCTTTTGTGTAATTTGTTTTACAGGTCGATTCGAAACAAGGGTGGCAACTCCGTTTGTGCTGACCTTTGTCATGTTTGACCTCGTTTCGATCCGCCGTATTCATTACTATGAAAAGCCCCTTGCCTTTTCCGGGCACAGGGCTCCGTGGGTAGAACTCTTGGGACACATCCTATTCCCCGGCCACAGCTAGAGCCACTCAAACTCAGGCGTGGGGTTCCTGCCAGCTGCCATGTTGGCGACCCGCAGTGGTATCCCCAGGTCGAAACGGAAATCCCGACAGGGAATGAGCATACATTGGTCCCCTGCCTGACGCTGGAGACCCCCTGATGCGGTCATTTGGGCCCCATTTGGGCCAGACCGGCTCTGGGTTCCTTGCCAATACAGGACCTTTGTTAAGCACCGTGGTTTGATTAATTGAGGGCCCTGACCAACGTGAATCACGGGCCCCGGTCTTGTCCCTGTTTGTGAAACGCCTCAGTCCCAGACCTGACCCTGGAGCAAGCGGGTGACGAATCCATCGCTTGTCACGATGGCTAAGCCTCCACCACATCCTTTCAGTTTTGCACAGTAGGCTCGGGGGCTGAACGGAAAAACAGCCGTGGTTGCACGAAACCAGATTTCTCCCCGGCTTGAGCACACTTTCCTCCAAACGTTATGGAGTTGCAATTCCAACTGAACATTAAACCAGCTCTGCTGTAATTCGTCTCCACACTCTGTCTCGTCGGAAGATGTTGTTGGCATCATTATCCTTTTGTTTGGAGCCGATCGTCGAAGCCTGGTTTCGGTTCTCGACGTAGGGTCGGTGTCATGTGACTTCAGACGCTGCTGGACGTATACGGCTTCGGGAGTTACCAGTGAAAGCTGACGCGCGCGACTACTGCAGGCCGCCAAGGAAACCCCGCCCGGTATCCGCAAGACGGGGCGCAGGCTGCACCGCAGCACCCGGCTAGGCGTGTTCAACATAGCTAGTGTTATTTTAGTGGCCACTGTTGGACAATTACGTGGCTTTCATGTTGCGTTGAGCATTCACGTTGCAGCAGAGGTCGGCACACGCTTGAAAGTTCTTCCGCACGTGGACGGTTGAAACGTTGGCCACGGTTTTGGTTGCTTTCATTCCGCTGGTTCTTTTCATATTCCGCCAAGACGAAAGGTAAGACGTCATGGCAAAATCACGCAACTTTCTAGTCAGCCAATATGCTGTGGTAAACTTGGCCAGATTCAACAGGACATAAATCGTGTAACTAAAGACATGCAGAATGCAGGAGAAACGGAAAATAATCATGTAAAACGGCCCGACGCGGCCGTGGCTAGGTCAGCCAGCTATACTCAGCTGAACATGGCAGTGCGGTCTTCATTGTCTTTGTTCAGCAGAGTCACCATGTCCCGCCATGGCAAGTCGGCGTCAGGTCATCACTTGATCCCAGTCCTCCAGGAAGCTTTTCAAATACGAGCGAAGGAAAGTATATTTCGGCAGCCACGAAAAACATGATTAGAAAAGCATTTGGTTCACATTTAGACATCTTGCGAATGGACAACTCTCAGTGATACAAGGTCAGAATGCACCCTGGACCTGCACTACTTAAAGAATTATTACAGTACATACAGCCTGTCTCGGGTGAAAAAGAATAACACATCTACACTGTTCGCCTATACACCATATCACCGGCCTTCACAACAAGGGGCAATGATGACACCAATTGAGTTCAAGAGGCATACACACTGTTTCTACATACATACAGTCAATACGAGCGGATGCAAAGAAAAACAACGAAAAAAACAGACCATTGTTTTAATACCAGCAAAAACAAAAAGCACAATGTTGCTTTAGCGTCCACGCTATGGTTATATGCGTATGACATGGAGCAAAACCATCGATGCTAGACGATGACAGACATCCAAAAAGTTGCCAGTCACATTATGATCAGACCTGCCTGCAACGTTGTAATTCCGACTCATCTGCTCGCGCCAGCGTTGATACACCACATCGACATCCACATTGAAACGTACACAAGTCAGTACTTGACTGTCGCAGCACGCGCAGCAGCGCAGCGAGGAGCCCGCATGCAGCCCGGTAGCTGCGTGCTCTGGAATGGTGAGCGGCCTCCGCCCCGGCGGCAGCTGCCGCTCACACCCGGCGGCGACGGTGCGAGGCTCGTGGATGGGGCGCACGACCGGGGCGGGCTGGCCGGCCATCCCACCTCGGGCCACACGCGGCGCCCACTCCCCACCGAGATCAGCCGCGGCCCGGCCGGCTGGCCGCGCGGGCACAATCACAGTCAGATGAGCAGCTCAACGTCCGTCTGCTCGCTGAACTGGCGCGCCGCCGCCGGCGAGATGGCCGGGCCGGCGCGCGCGCTCACGTGGCGCAGAGCGGCGCACTGGCGCAGGTGCGCCAGCGCCGCCTCGCTCACGCCGCGGCAGCCGCTGACGTCGAGCCACGCCAGCGTGCGGCGCAGCGGCGCATCGGCGGCGACCAGCGCCGCCAGGCCGGCGCTGCTGAGCCGCGCACAGCCGCTGAGGTCGAGCCGCGCCAGCCGCGGCAGCTGCTGCGCCAGGCAGCGACAGCCGGCGTCGCTGACGTCCGTGCCGGCCACGGAGAGGCGGCGCAGAGCGCGCAGCCGGCTGCTGGCGTCGGTGCAGCCGGGCCGCGCCTCGGCCGGCGGCGCCAGCAGCTCGCGCAGCCGGCTGTCCGTGAGGCCCTCCACGTGCGAGAGGTCGAGCGAGAGCAGCAGGGGACAGCAGGGTGTGCGCAGGCCGGCCACAGCCGCGAACGGCACGCCCTGCAGGCTGAGGTGGCGCAGATGCGCCAGCCGGCTAACCAGCCAGCCGAGCTGCGCGGCGCCCAGCTGCGCCCAGGCCAGGTCCAGCTCGGCCGGCTGTCGGCGCATCACCGACACGAGCGTGCGCTCCGTCAGGCGCCGGTGGCCGGCCGACAGGCGCGTCCACAGGCGGCGGTCGAGCGCGGCGGCGCTCCAGGCGCGGCAGACCAGCAGGCAGGCGGCCAGGTCGGCCGGCGCCAGCCACCGGAACACGGCCACCAGCAGCTCGCGGTTCTGCAGCGGCTCGGCCGGCGGCGGCGCGGCGACCGGCGCCAGCGGCCGCACCGGGTACAGCGGCCGCCGCAGCTGGCGCCGGCTACGCGCCTGCACGTACTCGTACAGGTTGCTGAGTGTCGGTGTGCGCGTGGAGCCCTCCGGCTCCGGGTCGGGCAGCGGCGGCTCCGGCTCGGGTGGCTCCGGCAGCGCGGGCTCCTCACTGGCGACACCAGGCTCCTACAGTAGCGACAGACGGCTGCTGCCACCAACGCCAGCCGAAACTCCAGCATAGGACGGCAGCATCGCGGAGGCCAAGCACGGCAGCCCACGTGCTCCGTCACGCATGAAAACACTCGAACGTCGCAGACACAGTCTCGCGCCAGTAGGCAGCTACTCCAGTACAGCACACGCATAATACGAATCCTCTTACAGCGATTATGCAAAGCAACTCACGAAAACCGAGCCCTGGCACCATCAGTAAAACCAACTCATGGGGAACCGTATTCCCAGCACCAGCATAACCAGCTCACGCTGGTTATGCTGGTGCTGATCAAAGCACACGCAGAGCCAGCATTTTCACGACAAATGTAACGGAAGAACGTAGTGAAATACCCTACTCCATTCTGCCGGGGTGGGACTTGGCATGGCGTCTCTGGTGGAGACGCCACGCCGTGGGGTGGAGCTGAACCCCGTCACTTCGGAGCTGGGCTGGACGCCTCTGCGGGCCGCTCTGCGGGCCCCGTCGGCGCAGCGCCGCGCGTCGGCCGTCGGCGTACCTGAGCGGCGGCGGCGTGGGCCGGCGCCGGCGGCTGCGCGCCCTCGGGGCTCAGCTCCGGCCGCTGCCGGTCGTCGGTCGACTCGAGCGAGAGTGGCGCCGTCAGCGGCTCCACCGGCTCCAGCTTGGGAGGCGCCGGCGAGTCGGCGCCCGAGGCCGGCTCCGTCGTCCCGGCCGCAGCGCAGCCGCCCTGCCCGGCCGGCGCACTGTCAGCCGGTCCGGTCACGGCCCAGCGCCGCCCGGCGGCGAGCGTGTCCATCACACATGACGACCCAGTCCGCACGTGGCTGGACACCAGCGACCTCAGCAGAATACGGAGCCAACGTGTAGGAAAGGTGGGCAAAGCATGCACAGCACTTCGGCGTTTCCTTGTGTTCCCATGTGAATACGATCTGACCGCGACTCCTGCGGCTCACGGAGAACCAATCCATAAAGCCACTCAGTGCACGATCGTGAAACGACAAAAGCGCGTCAGAAGGGGTCTCTCGCATTTTCAAAGCGGCTGTTGCGAGTGTCACATACCACCAGCACATGGACGTGCACACTGTGACAGCGTTTCACCCGGCGACAGTGCGACGAGCCGCCGCCAGTCGGCGCGCACACCCCACCTGCGGCTCGGACGGCGTCGGTTGCGGCGGCTGCTCCAGCTTCGGCTGGACGCCAGGCGGCAGCCAGAGCCGCTCCCGGTCGGGCACGGCCTGCGAGGCCGGCACGCCCACCGGCTCGTCCAGGCGCACCTTCTTGGGACGGCCCGGGGGCCGGCCCGGCTTCCGCTTGGCGCCGGGCGGCATCAGCGCAGGGGGCAGCACCGGCGGCGCCTCCTCCAGACCCAGGTCCACACACTCGGGGCAGCTCCAGCAGTTGGGCAGCCCCGGCAGCACGCGGCCCTCGGTCTCTGTACTCAGCTGGTGACAACAGAGCGCACAGTCAGGCAGGCCACCGAGGACACAGCGCACAGTCCGGCGGGCCACCGAGGACAGAGCGCACAGTCAGGCGGGTCACCGAGAACAGAGCGCACAGTCCGGCGGGCCACCGAGGACAGAGCGCACAGTCCGGCGGGCCACCGAGGACAGAGCGCACAGTCCGGCGGGCCACCGAGGACACAGCGCACAGTCAGGCGGGTCACCGAAGACAGAGCGCACAGTCCAGCGGGCCACCGAGTACAGAGCGCAGTCAGGAGGGCCGCCGCAACAGAGCAAGGCTCGCGCCAGGACTACAATTCTTAGAATGCCGCAATTAACACGCCACGGCGGCAGGACTGACAGGCACAGTAGCTATGCGGTTCTACAGCACAGGAAGGCGATTACAGCATAGTAACGTAAAGTTTTATCATGGGGCACCCACCACCCTTCCACGCCTGCCCAGTATTCATGTACAGTACAGCGACTAAGACGACACTCGATAAATACAACACATCGCATAAATGCAAGGTGCAGAGCACGCGTACCCGAACCCCACCCACACAGCTAATGCCAGCTAGCCGAGTACCCCGGTATCCATGCTGGGCACCGGTACAGCAAGCGGACAGCCTGACGGCGGCGGCTGGGGGTCACAGGCCCCGGCCTGGCACACTGGCTGACCTGGCGCATGGTGCAGGCGATGTGCGCGATACGGAAGCAGCTGCGGCACTCGTACAGGGTGCTCTTCTCAGGCCGCTGCCGCTTGCCGGCGACAGGCGAGAGCGGTCGGCCCCAGCCCGTCAGCTCGCAGTAGTGACAGACGGCCGTCACCGGCAGCTGCGGCTGCGGGCGGAGCGGCACGTCAGGAGGGGCGCCGTACACAGGGGGAACACACACCACACCAGCGGGCACCAGGTCCTCAGGCGGGCGGCCGCCACCCCGGTCTGTCCCGTACACCGACGGTATGCCGTGCAGTGGGCGGGTGCTAACGCCCCCGCGCCCCGCGGAGACTGCGCCGATGTCGACAAACAGTCGCAGCGGCCGCGGAGACGCAGCCACGTACAGAAGCGCACTGACTTGACAGGGAACCGGGGCCAGCACCAGCAACATGGCATGAGTGCATCACCACGTGATTAGAGCGCACCGCACCACTCCCACCGCGCGGCATGGCTTCATACATCATGTCCAAAGTAGACGGCACGCACCACAGCCAACCCCTGGGCCCCGGTCGCAAGACCGCAGCGCCAGGGACAGGCTGCACCGCAGCAGTGGCAGGCCAAAGCTGCCTCACCACGCCGCGGGGGAGTGCCCATCGCCATGCAGGCGTACGGTGTCGCGGTCTCGGCGGAATACAACCCGGCGCAGGTCACAGCGCGGATGGAAACATCCCGCAGGGCCGTGTCACTGTCGCAGAGTCGCCAACTACAGCCGGAGGGACAGAGAGAGTACACCGGCTGGCCGTCGCCAGGGACGGGGCGCCTACCTTCTGGCAGACTCGCATCTTGCAGGACTGCTTGATGATGCCCGGACCGCCAAACTTGGGCATGTCCCGGCAGCAGGCGCACTCCCTGCACTCGTCTCGAGTGCAGCCGTCGCACTCCTTGCCTGCAACCAGCGCCGGACAATGGATCGACCCGGCATAGGGGCCTTGCTCCAACTGGGTCCAGGACCTTACACTGCAAGCGCGGTAAAGCGCGTGCAACATGTGGCCAACAAATCTGAAAACGCCGTTGAAGCCTAGCGAGAGGTAAGACCACTGATCGCAACATAGCCACCAGGTGTGGAGAGGGCCACTTCTTAATCTCAGAATCACCCAAACGATCAGGGGTCGTGATAGTGTGATGGCTTAGCTGCGCGTCTGGGAAACCAGAGATGCGGGGTTTCATTCCTCGCGGCGGCCGCCCTCACTGCCAGGGTGAGAGGCAGGCGACGCCACATAGCCTCAGTAGCTGAGTCAATCGCAAAGTCTCGATCACACACACACACTCCCCACCCCACACAAAGGGAAATCCACCTTAATCCTAAAATGTTTTTCATGCACGTGTACGACAAAGGGAGATGACCAGATACCGACCATAAATATTCCACAAAACCAAGATCCTCCACTTCGCCGCCGTTTCCGCTTCAAATGAAACTAAGGCGATCGCGTACCTGCATCGACGCGTCACACAGCCAACGGTTTAAGGGATCACGCAGCATTAGCTTGCCGACTTGGTTTTCAAGCACTGGACATTTGGCGAGTCCGTGCTCATTGCAAACATAATTAAAGTGTTTGTTTCCCTTACTGGTTCATTTCAAACGTTTGCTTCCCCTGCCGATCAAGCCAGCTTGTTTGGTTCCAATGTTGGCCCAGCTAGCCCATTCACCCCAATGCTGACCAATTTCACGTGCCTGCCTCCAATGTTCGCTTTTACCAGGCCGGCCCCAGTGGTCTCCCACGACACGCACACACACGCACACACACACATACACACGGCTGCGCGGCCCGACACGGAGCGGCGCACGCCGTCGGCCGGCTGGCCGGACCGGCCACTCACAGCGCACGCGCCGCCGACGGTCGCCCTTCTTGCCCTTGAGTACCCTCCTGGCGAGGGGCGTGGCGGCGCCGGGCGTGCGCGGGCCACGCGGACCCTTGCGCGGCGAGGCGTCCGGGTCCAGCTCCTCCTCGGCCGTCTTGACGTAGCCCTGCAGCATGAGGCGCAGCTCCTGCCGGCGCGGCGCGGCGGCGGCGTCAGCGGCGGCGCGCATGGTCGGCGACACGGGCCGAGACGCGCTCCGGCGCCGGGCCAGCGCCGCGTGAGCGTGTGTTGGCAGCACAACGCAGAGCTAGTGAAACTCAGAGACGGTAGAGTGGTCCACCGCTCGGCCGCTGAGCCGTCTTACTACAGTACAGGGGCAACTACAATACAGTTACTACAGAACGGGAGTACTGGGGGCGCACCGTCTGCATTATGAGAGTGTAGACGGCATTCATTTTTGTGAGCACAGCTTCGATGACCTTGCGCATCGCGGTCACCGGCTGTCCGCTGTCTGGCCGCTATCGGCATCCGTTGTCTGGCCGCATCGTGCCAGTCGCCCCGCTCCTGCCCGACCTGCCCAACAGCAGGGCACTCTCCGCACATGTGCGTTGTCCGTCCGTCGCTCGGTCTGTACCAGTCCGTCCACCGTCAGGTCCGCACCTGTCTGCCCGCCGTCAGGTCCGTACCCGTCCGTCTGCCGCCAGGCCCGTACCCGTCCGTCCGCCGCCAGGTTCACACCTGTCCGTCCACCGCCAGACCCGTGGTAGTCTGTCCGCCGCCAGGTCCGTACCCGTCCGTCTGCCGCCAGGTCCGCACCTGTCCGCCCGCCGTCAGGTCCGTACCCGTCCGTCCGCTGCCAGGTCCGTACCTGTCGGTCTGCCGCCAGGTCGGCACCTGTCCGCCCGCCGTCATGTCCGTACCTGTCCGTTGTCAGGCCACTGCAGCGCCGGCTGGCCGGTGACCGCCAGCTTGGGACAGTCGAAGCGGTGCCGCTCCACCAGCAGGCGCACGTCGCCGATCAGCGCGATCGGGTCGCGGATCAGCTCCGGCACGCACTTGCGCGACGCCGGCTGGCCATGCAGGTACAGCACGATCGCCTGCCGGCCGGCCGGCCCGTCAGCGGCTGCCACGACGTCGGCCGGCCCCACCGGCACCCAGTGCTTGACGCTCAGCGTCGGAGGCGTCCCGGGTGGGGTCGCGTGAGCAGTGGCCACACGTTTGGCCGGGGCCGGGCGGTCTCGTGATACCGTGCAGACGTGTCACTCCCGGAAAGGTGACCGTACATAGGGCGATCAGAAGCGTGTCGTCCGTTTCCAGACCGCGCCACCCGAACACATCGCCGTGGGGAGGCACCATTGGGTGATGGAATATTCAGGGCTGGACAGATCAAACAGGGCGAGGCCGACGCCGGTCCCGTCCCGGCACGGCACAGCGTCGGCCGCGCCAGGCCGGCTACATACATCAACATCACGAATGGCGTGGGTTACATTTACATGTGGCGGCAACCGGCACCATTTATCAGCGCAACACCGTCCCGCGCCACGTGCTAATCCGACGCCCGCCATCGCCCAGCAGTCCCAACACACACACACACACACACACGCCACCAGTCCCGGACTGCGCCAGTCGACCTGACCCGACCTAGCCCGGTCACCGGTGGGCGCGAGCTGCGGCGACGGGGGCGGCGCAAGCGCGCGCACCCACCTTGAGGCCGTGCAGCTCGAAGGGCGTGAGGTGGACGTGCGGCGCGGCCGGCCGCGGCGGCGGCGGCGCCCGCTCGGACAGCTCGTCCAGGCCCAGCACCAGGTGCGAGCGGCCCAGCAGGCAGTGCACGTACCGCTCCAGCACGTACCACAGCATCTCCGTGAAGAACGGGTAGCGGTACTTCTGCTGCACCTGTGGCGGCGCCGGGCGGCGGGGCAGCGTCAGGCGACAGCGCCGGCGAGGGCGAGGTCCGGCAAACCGATCCGTCGACCAATAGCTCATTCGCGCTAATAGGACGAGCAGTCGACGAGCACACGTTCCATGAGTCAATACGTTGGGCAGTCTCAATGCCCATACAAACCAGGCTTATCACAATCGCTCGATGAGCACAAATCGGAACACGACGGCATCAGCCGCGGGCGGGCGGTGCTCTTGTCGCAAACGATGTCATCCACTGACGGCAGCGCTGGACGGAACCGGCTATTTTTCTGCGCGCGTGACCGCCCTCGTCCCCTCCCTCGTCCCCTGTGCTGACCAAACTCCGTCAATACGACACTGCGGCGCGGAGCGGACGCGTCCAAACGTAAACATATGAACACGTTCCACCACTTACCGAGGCGGCCGGGCGACGCGGCGGCCCCGGACGCCACACTCACCGGGCGGCGCGGCGGCCCTGGACGGCACACTCACCGCGCGGCGCGGTGGCCCCGGACGCCACACTCACCGGGCGGCGCGGCGGCCCCGGACGCCACACTCACCGGGCGGCGCGGCGGCCCCGGACGGCACACTCACCGGGCGGCGCGGCGGCCCCGGACGGCACACTCACCGGGGCGGCGCGGCGGCCCCGGACGCCACACTCACCGGACGGCGCGGCGGCCCCGGACGCCACACTCACCGGGCGGCGCGGCGGCCCCGGACGCCACACTCACCGGGGCGGCGCGGCGGCCCCGGACGCCACACTCACCGGGCGGCGCGGCGGCCCCGGACGGCACACTCACCCGAGTTGCGTCCTCCACTTTGGCGATCTTCAGCTGCTTGTCCACGGCGAAGCTGTGCAGGAAGTTGCCGCCGAACACGAGCGAGTCGGCGGGCGTGTAGACAGCATGGATCCAGCCTGCGACGCGGGGCACATCAGACCGGCGCGACACGTCTGGCTGGGGCGCGGACACATCAGACCGGTACGGCACGGCTGGCTGGGGCGTGTCGACACATCAGACCGGTACGGCACGCCTGACTGAGGCGCGTGGACACATCAGACCAGCACGGCACGCCTGGCTGGGGCGCGTGGACACATCAGACCGGTACGGCACGTCCGGCTGGGGCGCGTGGACACATCAGACCAGCACGGCACGTCCGGCTGGGGCGCGTGGACACATCAGACCGGTACGGCACGTCCGGCTGGGGCGCGTGGACACATCAGACCAGCACGGCACGGCTGGCTGGGGCGCGTGGACACATCAGACCAGCACGGCACGTCCGGCTGGGACGCGTGGACACATCAGACCGGTACGGCACCGTCCGGCTGGGGCGCGTGGACACATCAGACCGGTACGGCACGCCTGACTGAGGCGCGTGGACACATCAGACCAGCACGGCACGCCTGGCTGGGGCGCGTGGACACATCAGACCGGTACGTCACGGCTGGCTGGGGCGCGTGGACACATCAGACCGGTACGGCACGTCCGGCTGGGACGCGTGGACACATCAGACCGGTACGGCACCGTCCGGCTGGGGCGCGTGGACACATCAGACCGGTACGGCACGGCTGGCTGGGGCGCGTGGACACATCAGACCGGTACGGCACGGCCGGCTGGGGCGCGTGGACACATCAGACCGGTACGGCACGTCCGGCTGGGACGCGTGGACACATCAGACCGGTACGGCACCGTCCGGCTGGGGCGCGTGGACACATCAGACCGGTACGGCACGGCTGGCTGGGGCGCGTGGACACATCAGACCGGTACGGCACGGCTGGCTGGGGCGCGTGGACACATCAGACCGGTACGGCACGTCCGGCTGGGGCGCGTGGACACATCAGACCGGTACGGCACCGTCCGGCTGGGGCGCGTGGACACATCAGGCCGATACGGCATGCCCGGCTGGGGCGCGTGGACACATCAGACCGGTACGTCACGGCTGGCTGGGGCGCGTGGACACATCAGACCGGTACGGCACGCCTGGCTGGGGCGCATGCACACATCAGACCAGCACGGCACGGCTGGCTGGCTGGCGTCCGGCTACACCGACACGCAGACACGCAACGAATGACGAATGTCACCGAGCCACCGCGAGACCCACGGTGTACGTTTGGTGCACGTGGATCCGGTGGTTTGTGTAACGCGTTTTCTTGATGGATCCCGTACTGGATCAGTTATGGCCAAATCGACAGCTGCTTCCCTCAAACAGCGCCGTACTGAAAAGCCTAGCATCCGGATCACAGACCCTGTTTATCCAGGGACTTCGGCAATTATCTTGTTGACGATCACAAACAACAGCCAACAATTCTCAAACTTACGAAATCAATCTCATAGCTATTGCCATCGCTAAGTGACTGGCAGCCACCATCAATACTTAAGTTTAGGATCAATGACAAGGCTATCGCAAACGGCGCCGCCCTGCACCCCGCCATAACCCAGCCGCTCTACACCCGATCGCCAGGGGGAACCGGCTGGGTTTTTTTTCTCGTTCGACATGCCCATCCCTTGCCCAGTAATTCGCACTCCCCTCACTATTCGCCGAATCGGGCATCTGCTGTTCGTGCCTTCTCCCACCAATCCACCAGAAAACCGTTTCCTGGGACTATACGCCATATCCGGCTGGCGATCTCCAGTAACTCCAGCCGGCCCCACGCCCTCCAGCAACGAGTGGTTGCCGCGAAGCCAAACCCACCGGTGGGGATGAAGAAGGTGTCGCCGGGCTTGAGCTCGATCCTGCCGCACTGCTCCACCGTGTCGCCGAAGAAGACGTCTCCCTGTTTGCCGGACAGCACCCAGTTTTCGTAGAGCTGCACGTTCTGGTCGCTGGGCGGGATCAGCCAGAAGACCTGCCGACAGGAGGACTCGCATCACGCGCCCCGCCGTCGCCCTCCACACCCTCGCGGCCGCGACGGTGAGGCGAGCGTCAGCTGGCGGTAACACGTGACCTAGGAGTCAGCTGAGCGAGGCTGGCGTCAAGCTCCGCCTGAGATGTCACAACTGTAAGCTTGGTGGTACCTGCGCCCCAATGTCAGGACAAACATTCACCATCGGAGATGTTCGTCGATGTGTACAGCGCCATCACGGGACACACCGCGTCAAACATAGCAGCGGCCATCCTGACCACGCATTGTTTACCTTGCCGCCCTTGAGAACATGGTACCAGACCGATGTGCCCCCGAAGTCGATGTGGAAGTCGGTGTAGCAGCCGTTGACCGACATGAGGCAGTACTTCTGCACCTTGGGGTACATCATGTCGTCCAGCACGTTGGTGGACTCTGTCTGCAGCTCCTTGAGGTGGCGCGGCCAGACGCGGTCCACCCAGTCGATCTGCCGCACCTGGGGGGCGGTCCGGACGCGGCTGGAGCACATCTCGACCAACACGCGGCGCGCACGAGGGCAGAGGACGGGGGGGGGGGGGGGAAGACGAGTGATCGCAGCACGTGGTGACCGTTTACCATGCACACGTGGAAGCAGAACGGGCTTCAAATGTGCATGACAGATGCGTGTCAATATCGTGGTGCCAAAATGAAATTTGCTACTCTCAAAGGAACCGCATCAAAGCCAGGCAATGGTGCACGTACTCACAAATGAGATACTTCGAGGTGACAAACGATAAATACGGGATGGGAGAAAACGTTGCGTCGAGGAGAGCGTGTTGGAAAACCACGAAGTTTAACACCATTATCTTCTGTTTCCCTGAAGGCGTTGACCGAGCGGCCGGATCGACGACCAACCACTCACTAAACCAAGTATGACTAGACGACTTGCTAAGATGATGACGGATGGCTAGACAACTTCAAGAATTCAGTTATGAGGAAACGGAATCAATGTCTTCCCCTTCACCAGGCAAATACAGGACAGGTAGCGGCGGATACGATACGACACAGCAACGTAACACCGCCTAGCTCCATGTCTCCGGGCTTCTCCCGAAAAGCAGAGAATTCCGCTCTCGCGACGTGGCGTCCGCCGTCCGTCCATCCGTCGGTCTGCCCGGCACCCGGCGCCTCTCTGCGCCACCCCAAACCCACCACGGTCGGCGCGTCCACCAGCCTCTCCAGCTTGGTGTGGCTGAACTCCAGGCTGATGACGTTCAGCAGCCGGTCTTTGGCGGGGTTCTCGAAGTACTGCTGCCACTCCTTCATCGTCATCTCCATGTTCTTCTGCGTGCGCACGTCCATGACGTCCAGCATCCGCCTGGAGCCTGCCAACCCCGCGGCGAGCCTCGGATGAGCCTCTCGGTTCATACCGGTGGTGCATTTTAACGGCGACACGGCGGTCAGGAAACCGACACGCTTAGGTAACAATAGTACGGGCTTAACTTCCTTCCACCTGGCACCAACGTGGTGTGCCAACCCAAGCGGGAATCGCTGCGTTCCATGAGGTGTCCAGGGAATGCGATATGACACTGCTTGTCGCGAGTGATGACGCTTGAATTTTACCTAATTATTCCGCATGAGCGTGCTGTGCGTCCAGGTAAGCGTCGTTCGGGGTAGCCCGGTCGTTATGCGACAGCTGACGCCTAAGAATTTCATTACGGCACCAGGTCTTCAGACTATGGCGTTCCGTCCTACGATAGACCCTTCTGGTTCGAGATCAGAATGAGACAGTCTAATAATCGACGGCATTACCGGACGGCGTGATTATTGTCTGGTTTGATCCGAGACGCGCAGCACCCACGGGAGCGATGTTCCCAGGCGACCCTCGGGGTAGGGAGGATGCCGCACTAACCGACAGCCAGGCGACACTCGGGGTAGGCAGGATACCGTACTAACCGACAGCCAGGCGACACTCGGGGTGGGGAGGATGCCGTACTAACCGACAGCCAGACGCACGTCGTTTATCGTGAAGCTCGAGGGCGGAACGTTAATGCCGAGATGATCTTTCGAATGGAAGACCAGCGGTGTGGAAAACCCGTTCACCTGGATCCAGGCTAGGTCGAAATCTGTAAAGTGGACAGCCATATCACGTGCCACGACGACGGCGCGATCCGTACGGCTACCGTGTACAACAGCTGGCAGGTCGCGGCTATGACATATGGAACGGTGTCCCCAACTACGAGCTGGTACAAACGTCATGAACTGCGCGCGACCGATAGCAGGTCAGCCACATCAATAACACCATAAAAAGAGTGATTTATGAGTAACGGAGAGGAACCGAAACATCAACTGATACAGACGTAGAGCTAAGTCAGAGAGGACATCAAGAATCAGAGGTTCATAATACCTTTTCCCTCCATTTCCTTGACAAAACATTGTGGAAAATTGTCGCTGGCGATTTTCTGATCCAGATCGAACGATCGTTGTCCTTCCAATTCTTCTTCAGCCAAATTCCAATCATCTGTGTATATTTTCCTGTCCTTTTCACGCTGCAAGGTAGAAGATACGTGTGATTGATCGAAACGTTACACTCCGATCAACACTTAATGGTGGGTCAGGCAGGCAGTGTTTCATCAAACAGTGAACTATAACCTGACCATAACCTGTCTTAACCATAACATGTCACCTTTGGAATAAAGAAGACAACTTTACACACACATACGCACATGATTGCAAATCAAACGACCATTGGTTGTATAAACTGCAAAAGAACATCTTACGGAACACAGTGAAAAAGCCAGCTGGGATTTTCAAGCACACACTGGTGAAGCCCACAGCTTTTTGTACTAGCCTGTGAAGATCCCGTTCGTTAGCTTAACTACATAAGAAGAAAGCCAGCGGCGCAATTTTCAACAGTGAAGCTGGCTCCACATCCATCATTCCCCAACCTCGCATTGTTTAGCCTCGGATGACATCTCTCCGGTGCAGCGCCGCCTCCGACGGCTGAGGTCTCCGCCCACCGCCGCGTCAGAATAAGCCGACCGACGCCCACGCTTAAAGTCGTCCGACGTTTTTAGATTGATGACGCCCATTTACGGGAGTAGCTTTATTTAACGCTGCGACGACTCCCCCTCCCCCCCCCCCCCCCTCTGAACGGGGCGAGGGCGAAACGGCTAGGACGGGGACAGAACGCAACGGGTAGTCGGGTCATACCGCGCCCTCAGACCAACGGCAGCTCACAGCACGCCCTCAGGCCTACGGGTAGGCGGCCTAGTCCGCGTCCTCAGGCCCACGGCAGCTCACACCGCGCCTTCAGGCCTATGGGCAGGCGCCCTACTCCGCGCCCTCAGGCCCACCGCGGCTCCCACCGCACTCTGAGGCCCACGGCGGACGAGGGCCGCGAATCATGGAATGCAACATTTCAGAAACATCCAAACACGGACTAAAGTGCGAGGTTCGTGGCATTCTCTCCCCACGGGGGGGGGGGGGGGGGCATGCGGATGTCGTATCTTCGTTGGAACACTGACATCAAGTGCGTTCTGTCCCCACCCCCCACCACACACCTACCTTGTTCTCACCTTCAGGTCATCAGTGTGTCCTTTCCCCAGGCCATCAGTGAGCCCCACCCAGGCCTTAGTGAAACGTCTATATGGAGGAGGAAATATAATGAAATTCCACTTGTCCTAAAATGTCATTGATCAATGTGTGGCTTGAGACAAACAACAAAGAACCTTCCATCTGAAATGACAGTGACTGGCTGCTACTTCATGTTTTCTTGTCATCATGAAATGTACCATGACAACAAGCAACACTGATCAGAGGACATCTGTGTCCAGCCCTATACTGTTTGGGTGCCACCCTGGAGTTCATCTACTCCTCCAAACAGAATGGATCTTAGACATTTGGTATGCATCAGATCCCAAATCTGTTATTTACACCTTGCAGTAAATGACCAGAGCTCCCATATTCTAAAGTATAATTTATTCCTTTCCCATCAACATGCACCATTCCAATGACAGATGTAGTCATAGACACCTCAAACTTCATAACATAAACCCAGCTCTAACCTAAAAATAATGTAACAGTAAAACTATGCAATGCTACACTGACAACAATAACTTAACATGGCAGTGGGAAATACATCCCAGAATATCTGGTGGAATGATGAACACATCAGCCGGGAAACGTGGGTGTTGACATGTATGATGATTTGCTTTTTACATTGTTTAGCACATAAGATTCTAGATGTGTATATGCAGCTTTGGTCCTTTTTCAGAAAGACATTGCATAGTTCCAGAAGTCTATGAAACAGACTCTATCATAGTTCTTTAATTGAATGTGTTGGGCACCAAGCAATGCACAAAAAACATTTATGGCCCCCTTTAAGGACACACATGGGTTGACACACGATGGGTGGTTTTCTCCTGAAGGGGATGTGCTACATTTATTTGTTCTTCATCTTTCAAAGCTATGATTCCCTGCACTGCATGCTCACACTATGATAGCTGAGTCTTTGGTAGATTTTCTTGCATGACACCAAACTGCAAATTTGGGTTGCAGAACTCTGCAACTGAGGTGATGTTCCCACCCATCACATGACTCACTGCAAACTGCCAAACACTGCTGATTGCTGTGGTCAAGGAATACAAACACACAACTAACATATCATCCACTCAGGGCCTGGATGTTCAAGGTACAGATAGAGGTTCATCAAGAGGACCATGGCAAAATAGTTTTGGTTTTGAGTTTTAGCAATAAAGCCCTTGGTTCCTTGATAGTGTTTGACCCATACTTCTTTGTATGTTAATGGTCTGTTATTGCTACAATACGTGATCCCATCCTACTATGCTGAAGAACCAGCAGCTCAAGACCTTTCATGCCTCCATGAATACATGAATTATATTGATTTGATCATATTATTTATATGGAACAATGTCTTCATTTCCCACCAGACTTATACATTTGGTTATGCTTAAGTTCACTTAATTATTCATACTATCTTTACACTTTGCTTCCCTATGTTGCATCCTGTAGCACATGTGTGTCACACAGTGCTATGAAGTGTGTCAAAAATGAATTATGATATTGCAGATGGTGGTAGAACATGTGTAACTTACACAAATTCCACCATCATCTGTAAATTCATTAGTTGACACAATCCATTTCTCTTGTTACCATTTCATTTGATGGCTAACTTTCCTGTACTTGTTTTTGAAGAGGTCATATTCATCTTATCATTCAGCATGTTTTTACCAACTATAGGCCAGCCTCATGACCAATCTTGATATTTTGTTGGTGTGGCAGGGGCCATGGGTGTATCTGTTGGTTGGGCACTAGATGGGTCACGCACAAACAAAATCATTTTACCAGGCATGGAATATTTTCTGTACCCAAAACTGGGCAGGGAAACAGAGAGCAGTGAGTTTGACAAGAAAAACCTGGAAAACCATCATATATCATGGGTTTGGCTATTTTTGGAAATGGCCAAATGCAATCCAGCACTGCCAGCAGAAATCTATTTGAATGCATCAAACAACCTGACAATTTGAGTTCCACAACATGAGGTTGCAAGCTGCAACCTGTGGTTTTATGCAATGTCAAATACTATTGTCTTATATTTTGCTCCAGATGCCACCTGGTAGCCAATGTAAACATGCCACAAGAACATGAGGGGCAGACAGAATTCCACCCAAATAACATGGCAAACTGACACATTTTGGGCAGATTTTAGCCTTCCTCATCCCAAAACAATTTGCATCACATTTTTTGATAGGCTTTTACAAATTGAAAGTTGTGCCCCACCTCTGCCCCCAAAAGATCCCAAAATCAGTAATGGTATGCAGACCTGTATGTGTGCACCACAATATGTAACTAAATAATCAAGCAGCAGATGGCTTCAGCCTATTATTTATCTGCTCCAAAAATGCTGAACATCAGCTAGAGCAAATTCGTCATATCTTCGGGCAGGGGACTGCTGATGAATCATTTGATTACATGCCTGAGGTAGTGTTTGGCACAATTTAACTGGACCAGCAACATTAGAGTGATACCAATTTGCATCCTTGTCATTGCATGATTAAAGGTTCCTTGTAAGGACAGGATTTCCCGAATGCCAACCGATAATTCGAAAATCTCATCCTTATCTTTCCAACTGGAAGTCATCTTTTGATTATCACTCCGTGACCCACCGTTTTGATTCTTCGCGTCTTTCTGGCTTTCTTCGGAGAGTCACCATCTTCATCACCAGATCCTCCCGCCATGCTTTGAGAACAAATTCACTTTCAATCCGACCACTCAACCAGCCACCGACGTTCACCCCACCATATCACCGGACCCACCGCCCTATCCAGCAATACAACACACCAAATCCGGCTAATTGTTATGCGTTCTGTAGTCCCTAACTTGAGGCAAGTGTGACGCACCCAGTTTTGGCGCAAGGGAACTTTATTTGACGCCTAGAGGTATTATGCAACCAAATTATGGTGCAGGGCAAGTGGTGAATATCCTTGTTTTTTTGCCCTTGAGCAAGATTTTCATACTGTGATTGCAGTCACCATCGATGCAGCAATTTCAGATTGGTTTTTCAAATAAAAAACAATCTTTGCGTCGACCAAATGTCTTAAATTCTAATTTGAGCATCAAGGACGCCAATGAATATGGCCGAAATCCGGGGTCAAATCAGGATTTGAGGGCAAGGCCAATTTTACTGGGTCAGCCTCCCAGTCGATTTTAAAAAGGGGCACCCCTGCTGAGCAGTGAAAATGGTCCAACCTACCCACAAAATACGCTAGCAAATAGATTCTCCCAGATTCGGCCCACCTTCTTTGAAAAGTCGGGGAGGGGGGGGGGGCTCGACCGAAAGTTTAGGGGAATGGCTGGAGCCCCACCCCCCACAAGGGGTGCAGGGGCGTTTATTTGGCTTTTTCGACGCATCGATTGCTGAGGTCATATTGCTCCTTGGTCTGTCCTCGATCCTCTCTTCCACCCTGCCTTCATCGCCGTGTTCTACTCTTTCCTCCGCCTGTGTTCTAATCTATTCTCTGTCTTATGTCCTGTGCTTTCTTGTCGCGCCCGTCGTGCGCATCGTTCAGTGAGATGCTACGCTTGATATGCTGTGTGTGGTCATGCTGTACGTTAGGATGAACTTTGTCCTTTTGGTATGTTATTGTGGAGGTTGGATGTTACCGGCAGTTATTTTCTCAGGTGCCGAAGCAGTCAATTGTGTGGGCTTAAAGCGCATGCCCATAACCTTTTATTTTGTTTGACTAAATGCGAAAACATCTGTTTAGTGCAGGTGTCAGGTGAACTATACTTCCTTACAGGTGGATCAGACAGTGTCCCCCCAGAAAAACAAGCTTTGCAGCGTTTAGGGGGGCTACACTCCGCCTATCACACCATATGAGAGATGTGACTTGTTCCACGACAGCCCCACCCTCAACCACCGCCCACCACGAGGGGACTAGATGTGGCGAGAGGTATGAAATCGGGTAAAATTGCAAGCTACCCCAGAACCAAGATCCCTGAACAGCCGTGAGCAGCAAAATACCTGAAGACCTGGCGGGGGTGTTGGACTATTCGCCGGTTCGAGGACTCCCGTTACACAATCCTACAGGGGCGGATCTAGGATTTCGTCAAAGCGGGGGGGGGGGCACGCAATATTGTGGGGCCCTCTGGAGTTAGGTCCCCCCTCCAAAAAAAATCCATGCATTTTGGTCATTACATTTTAAGACAAGTCGTATGTAACACACATGCATACATTTGCACATGTACATATACATATATATATATATATATATATATATATATATATATATATATATGTACATATACATATATATAATTATATAGTTATACATACATATATATATATATATATATATATATATATATATATGTATATATACATACATATAATTATATAGTTATATATATATATATATATATATGTATATATGTATACATATGCACGTATATGTGCATGTATATATTTGCTTATTCATTTATTTCATAAATACAGAAACCCGTCTTACTGTGCACAGCCTTCTAAAGCTGGGTATGCTACGCATGCATGCGCATAGAACTCACTTTCTACGGATCATTTCAAATGCTGTGATTTTGAGGCTAAGTGTTTTGGAACAACAGATAAAATAAACTTGAGTTAGCTGTTTACAACCATGAAAACCAAGGATGAGCTTGATTTCTAGCTTATGTCTTACGGCTAGCCGGCTGAGCGATGTAATCAGCTGATGGCTGATGACTAGTGCATAATTTTTCCTCTGTTATAAGGGAGTACAACATATCGTAGCACTCGAAATATGTTGAGAACGTGATGCACTAGTATAAGGAGTGTCACGTACTCAATAGGTAATGAAAATGACACATACGACGTCAGCGGCATATCAAATTACGTTCGGCAATTGCACGTAAAAATTCATCGGCGCATATTCGACCGCCGCTCTGACGCGAAGGCACCAAGGCCAAAAGGGACGAAACCTGAGCAATCATGGGTGCCGCAGGAGGCCAACAAAGTGGCTCCCGTCAACAAGCAGAGGGTCCGCAGAGCAAGCAAAAAGAACCCAGGACTAACGCGATGGGCCCATGCACGACCGGTAGTGCCCCGGCAGGCTGAAATATAAAGCCCCGGCCAGAGCACAAAACCCTCTGAGCGAAGGGGAATTACCCAAGACCATGAATTAATACCCCTGTGCGACCAAGCGTGCGCGGGTGGGTTAACAATGCGAGCCTCGATAGGAGTGAAGAGTCCTCTGCAAATGAGCCCAAAGGGAGAGAGAGAGCCCTCGATAAAAGCAGATGACCCCTGAGCATCGAGTATCTCCGTGCCCTACCTCATAAAAGCCCTAGCAATAGTACAAGGGCCTCCAAGCAAGTAGGAAGAGCCCGACACTTAAGTGAAGGGATGCTGAGCAACTGTGTGTACCCTGGCATATGGGACCTGGAAAAAGCACAAAGAGCCTTTCGGGCGAATGGGAAGAATCCGCGGAGGAAAACCTGATCGATCAACGGTGCTGAGGCATGGAGGCAGATAGCGTCCCAACAGCGAATTGGGGCCTACGAGAAAATGCAAAGAGATCAAGGGCAATGTGGAAAGCTCCTTAGTGATCAGAATGACCTGGCAGGTGGACATATAGGGCCAGGAAGCCAACAGCGCAATGGCTCTAGACAGCGTGATGAGCTCCAAAATCCAAGCAACACTTTCTCAATCAGCAAAAAATGAACTTGGTCTGCTTATGAACTCTTGCCTTTGGTAGCGATTGTTCTTGGTCGTCTGTAGACCCAAAATATTCCAATTTTGTTGTGTTTTTGTTATAAGAAAACTGCATCCGTCCAGCCAGTTAGGGGCCCATTCGGAGCCTTTAGGTACCCACGGCATGGCCCATGAGGCATGGTCCCGTGTCTCCCCCCCCCCCCCTGCATCCGCCACCGGCCCGAGCAGCTTAATAGATGGGGTCCGCCAAGAACATAGGGCCATCCATTCAAAAAACAAATGCTCACGACACGATGTGTAAGGCTCTGAACGATCGAGTGTGCCCAAGCAGGTTAACAGATAAGGTTCCCAAAGGGAGCGAAGGGCCTCCATTCAAATAGGAAGTATTCAAAAACCAATGCAGAGGACCCACGAATAATCCAGTGCGTCAGAATAGGTTAACATATAGGGCCCCCGTCAAGAGCGTAGGGCCCTCCATTCAGATAGGAAATACCCAAAACCCAATGAAGAGCGCCCTCGAATGATCGAGCTTGCCCGAGCAGGTTAAGCGTAGGGCCCTCCATTCGAACGGGCAGGACCGACGACTTTATGTGAATGGCCCCAGAATGACAGAATGTGCCCGAGCAGGATATCAGAAGGGGGCCCGAGAAGAACGTAGGGTCCTCCATTTAAATGAGAAGTACCCAAAACCCAGTGCAGAGGGCCCCCGAGAGATGGAGTATACCCGAGCAGATTATCAGGGTGGCCCAGACAAGAATGTAGGGCCCTAAACTCAAACACTAAGATCCAACGTGCGGGGCCCCCGGACAATTAAGTGTGGCCGAAGCGGCGGACAGATAGTCCCAGACGAGTGAGTAGGGCCCCCCACTCAGATAGGAAGTACCCAAGACACTATGTGGAAGGCCCTTGGATATTCGATTGTGCCCGAGCAGGTTAACAGATGTGGCCCCGGCAAGAGCGTACGGCCTTCCGTTCAAATATGAAATACCCACGACACGATGTAGCGGGCCCGAATAACCGAGTGCGCCAGAGCAGGTTAGATAGGGCCCCCGAAAAGCACGGAGGGCCTTCCATTAAAAAAGGATGTTCCCAAAACCACATGCAAAAGTACACCACGATCGAATGGGCCCGAGCATCTTATCAGCAGGGGCCCCGACAGGAGCGTAAAGCCTTCCACTCAAATAAGAAGCACCCAAAACCCGATGCGGAGGGCCTCCGAAAAATGGAGCGTACCCGAACAGGTTATCAGATGACCCCGATAGAAGCAGACGGCCCTAAATTCAACAACCAAGAATCAATGTGTAGGCCCTCTTCCCTCCCCCCCCCCCCCCCCCCCCAGCAATCCAGTGTGATCGAGGAGGCGAACAGAGTGCGTAGTGCGTCCGACAAGTGCGTAGGGCCCCATTCAAAAAGTATGTGCCCAAGGCCCAATGTAGAGGGCCCCCGAACGATTGAATGTGCTCAAATAGGTTATCAGATAGCCCCCCCCCAAAAAAAAAACGCGCAGGCCCCCCATTAAGACAAGAAGTACACAAGACCCAGTGTGAAGGGTCTCCAAACGACTGGTGTGCCCAAGCAGGCTATCAGATGGGCCCCAGACAAGAGTGCATGGCCCTAAGCAAGTGATAGCAAATTGGAAGCGCCCTAGACCAATGAAGAGGGCCCATGACCATATTGCAAGTGTGTTGGTAGGTTAACTGAGACCCACGAAAGGGCCACTGAGCAATCGAGAATACCGCGGCCGGTTAAAATATGGGACCCCGGCTATAGCCCACAGAGCCTTTCTGGCGAATGGAGGAAAAAAAAACAGGTGGAAGGGTCCGTGATTGATGAGAGTGCCCCGGCACGCTAGCAGGAAGGGTCCAACAGCAGCGCAGGCCCCTCGAGCAAATCCGAAGACATAAAGGGCAACGTGGAATGCTCCTTAACTATCGAAGTGATCCTGCAAGTGGGCATATAAGTCTCCCAGAAACAGCATGGGCCCCTAGACAGTATAATGAGGCCTAACATTTTCAGTTCACAACGTTTCCAATCATTTAATATTTGTTTTGACTTCTCATAGACCCTTTAATATCGCTTGCAACTGTTCTTGGTCGTCTGGAAGTCCAGAGATATATAGTTTTGTCGCG